AAACCTCTAGGAATGAGTAGTTGTTTACGAATCATTCGCGATAGCATATAGCGCGGTGAGTTTCAATGTCATTATTATGCGGGAATGAGTAAGGCATATAGAAAGTAGGGCCAGTGCGAGCCTCTGCGAAGCAGAGGTGACGCGCTGGTCTAGTATAAGGGAATTTGCAACATATCGGGCATTTTGCCAACATCCGCAGTCGGAAGTGTTGCGGTGATTCAGATTTTTGCAAGATAAGCTAAAACTTTTGGAAAGGATGATCGATGCGATCATTGCCTGGCTCGAATCGTTTTCTACTCTTTTCAGACCCAATCTCCTTTACTTTTTTCAAGCTATCAACGAAGTCCCGCTTGGTACATGACGACGCATTCAAAAAATGTTGTTAACGCGGAAAGGCAGGCATGTTGCAATAATTGGGCTTGCTTATGCTGCTGATTGAACTATACGAGCGAATTAAGCAAATACAGGCAGAATGTATGTAGAAATACAGCGTAGGGAGGAAGAAAGAAAACGACAGACAAAAACTGCACATAAAAACTTCAAGCAAAGCGGCATTCGCTTGAATGTAGGTTGCAGCGTAGTATCTACTTTAGAGAGCTTTTGTGCTTAGAAGTATATCATATGCACAAGGATATGAACGAGGAAGTCCTCTACAAGGATCCAAAATGTATGCGATTTAGGAGGGGTAATTTGGGAAAAGGCATTACCTTGCATAAGTCATCACAAATTTTCATGTGACATGAATATATTCTATTCATACAGTCATACTTCAATATCATATGGTTGTCTCTACGGTGTGAACAAGGCATTTGTTTGTCTTAGCCTTGCATTCAGATTGCTTGCGCTTCGCGAAAGATCATGATTGGGGGGTCGGGGAGAGAGGCGGAAGTCGTTATCGAGATGAGCTGATGTCAGCGATAACACGATATTCGTTAACAATGTCAGATAGGCACCGTGTAATGTACTAACACATTGATGTTTTGGCCTACTATCGTACACGTACAGTGAGCGTAATAAAAGAGCAGTACAAAAGTAGAGCGTCAGTTTCGTGACTAGAATGTCAAGTAACCTCTGTAGGTTAAGTTTCAGCGAATACTGAGGTTTCTATATGTTGGACCATCCAATGAGATAGCCTTTTCAAACATGTTACCTTCGTTTCAAAAGTGATAGTAAGTAATACTTCTTTCTGCACTCAATGCAAAGAACTACTAATTCTTTGCCCAAACTAGGAATCCCACTTCGAATAACATCCAAACTATGGAACTACGAGCAAGCCAAAATCTCATTTGTTCTATCTCCCACTTTCGATATCTCAGATTAGAGAAGACCAGTCAGGCTCAAATCACTATCAAAAATATCTATCCTTGTCGCCTCCTTTCATGATTTACATCGTAAGACTAGGTACTGTAACCCAATAGTTTCGCAGCTTTTTTAATTTGCATAGGTAAGGGAAAACACTATATCTTTCCCTAGAAGAAACGATTTCAAATGATTTTCCTATCGTGTAAAGAAGAAGGTTGAGCAATAGCAACGATAAAACAGGAAAGCGAAAATGGGGGGAGGGGGGTGGGATCGAGGCAGAACTTAGGAGGAGGGGAGGGGGGCGAATCCGGCGGTTGTGTGCCATACCTCTTGCTCAACCCTGGTAATAACTTGCTTCAGAGGCGTGCGTTCATCGGAGTTGTCACTTATATGCTTGCATAGCATGTTTCACCATATCCCTTTCTTCTTGCCCCAAGAACGAAGTCCGGCGCGCTTTGGGCTTTTTGCCCTAAGCTCTGATTGCGATGCGACGCAAACTGTTGCGCGTGCCTTTGAGCGGACATAAGATTGGCGGACGCGCGCCAATCTTATGTCGGCTTAAAGGCAGTCGATCGGCAGAATGAGACTCGTGGCAAAACAAGGTCACAGGGTAGGAGCCTTATGCTTGTAGCATTGCGCCTGCGCGCTCTGACCGTGGAAGTCACTCGTCCATGGGGTGGGCGGGGTCGGAGAGGAGAGGAGATGAGCGCTGCTTTCGCGTTAACATTTCGGGAGCTAGAAGTGGCAGAGAAAAATTGGACCTTGGCCGATAGGTTCCATTATGGGGGATCCTACCCTGTGACCTTGTTTTGCCACGGGAGTCATTCTGCCGATCCACTGCCTTTAATATGGCCTAAGGTATACTTCTCGCGATACCGTCGAATCATTGCATCCACGCGATTTGGCGATTTGCCAAATTTCTACAGTTCAACCGTACAAGGGTCTCGAATACATGGACGCGCAGCCAAGCCTGCTACAAACAAAGCGTGCCTACAAACCAATCCTAAAGGGAGTTGCAGTGACAGACAGCGCAGCGACTGGAAACGCGCGAGGTGTGCTTTAGACTCAAGGCAGTCTGGGAGAAACGTAGGTCCAATTTGATTTAGGGTTATAGTCTCTTGCGCTACACTGCGTCGGGTTCCTGCTGCACTGTGTCGATGTCGAGCTTTTTTCTGTTTGTATATCCTTTTTTGTTTCTGCAAATCATATTCCCTCGTGCACTCTTCCGTTTCGATTTAATTAGTCCTCAGTGCACTTTCAAGTCGCTTTCTCACTGTACCGATTCCATATGATAGTTGAGTATACGGCATACAGTGGTTATGTGGTGTGATTACCGCAGGCAATCGCCATAACCGTTCTGTGTACACCTCAGCTTCAGGTGTATGAGCCGCAGTTTTTTGGTTAAGAAAATATTGCGCATGGTGGAGGAGCATTCCGCCAAAGTGTACCGCATTCATGCAAATTTAACCATTCGAACAAAGTCATTTTCCAACTACGAGAAAATCAAAAGTTTACAGTACTTTTTTGCCAGAATGTGTTGTTTTTCGATTTTATTTTGCAAGTCATGCTAAGGATTTATCGGTGGAATCCATAGAGTATCTGTTCTGAGATTGTGTTGAGTAACAAGGTACAGTTAAGAGCAGCAATCTAAAGGCGTTAACGTGCTGAATGAATTGGGTTTTCTGATAGTTTCACTTCTCCACACTCAGCCACAGCCATTTTGATGATGCTAATCAAAACAACTCTATTGCAGAAGAAGGGCAAATTTATGATTCCTAAAAAAGTGCTTAAAGGAATAGCGTTATTAAGGGCCAAAAAAGCAATGATTGTAAAGTAATGCGGTAGGCCTGTTGTTTTTAACGTCAAAAATAATTTTATTTTCGCTTCACTTTTGAGGTAAAGTTGACATAAGATAGTTCAGTGAAGTACGTTTGGCTTTCTTCGGGGCTTCGAAGTATCTATTGTCTAAGTTCTAGCAACCATATGTTACCATATATTCCATATGTTCGTAGTTCTCTTATAAGGGAAGGATACCAATATTAGTCGGCGATTGAAGATGGGATGTACATCATTAAACGCGTCTTTGAACGCTGATTCCAAATCTGCTTTCCTTTTTTCCGAAAGAACTTTTAAGCGTTTGAATGCTCAAATTTGCTAAGCATTAAATGGCTAAAAATCAATGAAAAGCTCTAAAACAATACCTATGCGATTTCCACCGGCTTTGTTCCTTGCAAACAACATACTCGATACAAAACTGATTTTCCACTTTTCGTTGTTTTTGTACATCTTTTCGCCAATTTTAGGCCACCTAAACCTTAGCACATTTGACATTAAAAAGCTCGTAACTTCTTTCGGAAAGTTGTTCCGCAAAAAAGCAGAGCAGATTTGGAATATGCATTTGAATGCGCGTCTACTGATATACATCTCATCTTCAATCGCCGACTAACGTTGATATCCTTCCTTTGTTAGATGAGATTTGATGAGCAGTAAAAAAAGAAGCAGCATATAATAAACTAGTAATAAATTGAAATGATAAATTTCTATAGTGTAGTGCTAGTTAAAATTAAAGAGATTTAGATATTTTTCTAGAACACTAAACTATGTTACTCCGTTTCGTTCCTTCCCTTAGACGGAGTTGTTCTAGGTCTTCCCCGGAACTCCTCAGTAAGGAAGGAAGACCCAGAATCATGTATATTCAAACATATTTGTTATAATTGTAAATCTATAAAGTTTGTTTGATTATTTTACGTTTTATTATTAATATTTTAAGTATTAAAATATTAATAATAAAACGTTCTATAATAAATATAATAATAAATAATAATATAGATATTAATAATAGAACGTTAAGTTCTTTTTAATATTCTTCTCAGCCTGCGATTCATTTATAAAGTCGCCGACGATCCTGAAGGTGCTTAAAAAAGACCGATCCTGCAGAAATCTGTGGCGTTTGCAACTAAATATATGCAACGCTCATAAATCTTGCACGGCTAATGTAATAAGGTCGCGCTGCCACATTCAGTGGTTGCATGAGTCTGAATAGCGAACTCAAGACTTTTGACTGGAATACCCGTTGATTTTTTCATTTACTGTTCTAATTGTTGAAGTCGTAGCTGATCACATTTAAGTTTCGTTTAGTCTGACATTCTATCTCATGTAAATGTCTAGCGACCAGGAAACTTTTACAGCAAACAAACGTACTACGCATGCTAATTTGATCCAGAAAAACATCAAATATGTGATTAGACATAGCCTATTTAGTATGCTGCAAATGTTGAAACAAGCCATTTGAGTTGCCAAAAACATTCCACACTTGCAAAAACTGCATGCTTCCGTAATGCCCCATTCATTGGGCTGCGGGGCTGCATCCTCTTCTGAATGAGGAGCAACAGCTCATTTGAGGCGAATTATCTATTGTCTGAATGTTCTTGTAAGTGCTGCAGAGCTTTCTATTAGTCTGCAAAAATTGAAGATATTGATTATACGATGCCTTTCTTTATTGCTGCTTTCATACTGAGAAATTTTTCATCCTCAAAATGTGCAGTACTAATTATAGCATGCTCCCACCCATTGGCTAACTGTGCAATAGATTGTAGAATTGTGCAGAAGCCATTCCTAAAAATAATTTTGAATAATCCGTCTTCTCTCTTATCGCCTTTCTCGTCAGAGAGTTTCATTCTTGTACGATGAAAATGTTTAGATGCTCGCTTGGCTCTCGCTGATTCTGTTGTGCTCGCTAGCCTCCGCCCGTGATTCATCATATTCAAGCGGCTCAATTTTGCGGGATGTACGAGCAATCGCACCATCATACTCATCATGGTTAGTCGGTTTTCTAAATGAAATAAATAAAATTCTACATCAAAATATTCATAAACGGCCTGAGTTGGAAGAGTACACGGTATTGCTTCAAGTTCTACTTGCAAAGGCAAAAAATAACGATCTTAACTCTATTTTCAAGCTGCTAAAACTTTTTAGCCGACATCAGCTGACACTATAGCCCAGCTGTTGAGTGTGGGAAAAGTAAATTCTCTTCTCACTCATTCATCATAGTCGGCGAAATTCACATAAGAATAAAAGTCCTATCCATCATTATCGTTGTATAGGATTAGATTATAATATCCACATCTTTTTAACTAGAATGAGCAGTTTTAAGATAAAGTAAAAAAATTTTTAGTTTGAATGAAAGGGCATTCAGTAACATGTAAGACACATTTGTTAGATTATTCCTGTATTTGTAGATCTTTTTGTCCGATGGATTTGAGCCTTAGCGAAATGCTTGCTCCATTCATATAAACAGGACATCATAATTTTGTAGGAAAGGTAAACAAACTCTTCGATTGAGTTGCATGAATAAGCCGCAGCAACATCGGTTAACATCATTCAACTTCTGGAAAGATTTTATAATCAACCTTGAGCTGATATACATAAGGTTATGTCACATTATCTTGCAGATGAAGTTCTTATCCTGACGGAAAAGCATGTGCAAGAATTGACTTCATTTCTATTTTTGTAGCTGAACTACAATGCATAAATGCATTGTTCTTATTTCTCTAGCGTTTTCCCCAGCGAAGTTAGGAAGTAAGTTTTCTTACGAACATTTATTGGATTCCTGCTAAGTTTTCTTGGATCCTGGCCAAATCTCCAGCGCAGTGCTCGCGCCTCTAATTATCTCCTGCGGACATTCCCGGCTAGGCCTTTGGTTCCTCCTGCGCGTCCTCCCATAAATGTATTTGGTTTTGTGCTCTTGCAGCATGCAAGTGTGCTGCTAATGTTTTGACGGAACAATTGTTGAGAAAACATGTGCTGTCCTCTAAAAGGTTAGATCAGGGTTTTGATGGTTCATTCTGAATCAGTTAATTGACTTTTTTTGCGCATTTTGGAGTTTAGTTTTTGAAAAAAGGCATGAAAACTTGCTACAAAAAAAGCCTTCCTTTTCGCTCATTTCTTTCATTGCTCTGAATCGCTTGTCAATTGATAGAAAAAATAAATAACGGTATGTTGTATCTAAAGCCGTGGCAAAGTCAGATAAGAAGCATCAAACGAAAAGAAAGAAATGTATACATTTGTATAGAGGTGTGGAACCCGCAACTCAGGGCAATGAATTTTTAGTCTTGCATATGTGAAAAACGAGAGATCAAACTGTAAAATGTAAATGCTTTTTCCCAAAAAAGCTTGTCACGGTGAAACTAAACATTGTGCGGGGGTGCAAATTCAGTAAATATGCAATCTTTTCAATCAAACAACATTTAATTAACTCATCAACGGCGCTGGCGCTTGATCTCCATTTTCGCGTAGAATGAATCAATGTCAGTTGAAACAAATCCAGTAATTACACTGTCTTTCAGAAGATACAACATTAAAGATTTATTAATAACAATGCCGACTCTCAGCTAATAGCAGAACTTTTCGAAAATAACAAGAATTATCGCTTCAATCGTTGTCAGATAATTCAATTAAATCGTTTTCAGGTGCATCTTTTATCCAGAGCGATGCCGATTGTTCAATGCGCACGACAGCATTGGTGGCTATCGTCGGCGATTTTTGTAGAAATTCAAGGATTTCACTGTTTCAATCTTTATAATCTCAAATATAAGAACACCCAGTTATGTTTTTGTTGGTTGATATCGAAGGCGTTACTTAAACGATGATAAACGAATATGTTTGTCCTGTTACAGCCCATGACCATCAAAGCGCTGATATTAATGTAACTGACTGTAGATGAGTGCAAGAAAAGACTCGCAGATGAAGGTAGAGGAACCGCCTTGACTAAATCAGCGCACTACTCGCCTACCCGTCTTTTTTACACCCGAGAAGTTAGTTGGTGGTTCACTCGAAGGGATTACAGTCGGAGATGAAGTTGGAAATTCGATATCCCGGCCACGAATGATTGTTATAAGATGTCGTTAGCGTTATTAGCTAAGGCCTCCTTATTTTCCACAAAAGACTAAGTACCCAGATTTGCCTGAACATCGTGATTGAGAAGGCTTAACCCTGCTAATGATATGCAAAACAATTTTTTTCGGATCATTGCTTCTTGTAATCCCCAGCGATGATCTCCACCCAGCTACAATTATGAGGTAAAGTCTGTGAGAATGCTGTAAATTAGAACCTGTAAGGCCAAATAAATGAGAAGTGAGCTTGACTTTGTTGACTGGTATTGACCAGTTCCAAATCGAAAGAGTGAGAGCACATTACATACTGATAATCAGCCAAAAATGCAACTACCATCTGTTTGGTTACTTTTCTTCAACACATTGACCATGGTGTGTGAAGCAATCACTATCGCGTGAAACCGATTGATATCCACGGTGTGTCAAGGCTTGAATTTTGTTCAAATGACGACTATCCTGGGGTCAAACTCGCATCAGGAGATTTCTCTTATGTTGGACTAAGAATTAGCCTTCTTCCAAATTTGTCATCCTCTCAGGGTTACTGTTGATATGCTTAGGTGGCAGTATGCGTGATCTTATCGAAAAAATGTTGACTGGTTTGAAAACCTCCCAGAAGGCAAACAATCAAAAATTTGCATTATCGCCAATGTGTTAAAATTTAAAATTTTGTAGGTTTGTAAGATAATTACAGTTGGAACTAGGTAAAGCTTCTGCTCTGCATTTTCAGGTAAGAGACAGCGCTCAAACATTGAAAAGAGAGTTTCAAAAAGAGGTAAACCTGCATGATAAAAAATCTTTGATTGAAATAAAAACCCGTTATTATGCGAGATGTGCAATATTTGCAAGGCAATGTAACGCAAATATGTACACCTTATCACTTCGCTTTCATCGAGTTTGACCTAAGCTTTGGTTGGACTTACGGACATCGAATGCCAGCAAGTATTAGATTGGCTCGAAAGTTCTCGGACATTGCTTTAGACAATGTTTTGTGTTTCGATGTGACCACCAAGCATGCTGCATACCGTTGAACAATGCAATCTCTACAAATTTGTGGTAAGCACAAGCATAATCAGTGTTTTATATGAAAATTCAGGCGAGAATTCTGAAACATAGGAATTAGAAATAACCCAGATCTCCAACTTTTATAAACTTTATGAATTTATAAATTATATATGATAAAACCGCCCACATGCTCTAATACATATTAGGTCGTTCCGTAAAATGTCGCATTTTTAAATAAATGCCACACTTCATGCAATCAAGATTTTCAAAAGATCTTAGGAGCATTCGATGCAGCATTTCATTCTCTCTAATGGTTTCAATCTTGTTGCACAATTTTCAATGAGCTCTTGAAAAATTACCAAAATTTGCGACCCATGCTTTTTGCCAAGTAGATATAGCAGACCCTATAGGACCAGAGTATTTTCATCTTTTCCTTAGCTTGCTTCTTAGAGTTTCTGGAATCAATTTTTCAATGCTATCAAATTCCATATTTGGTCAACTCAAACCTCAAGAGCAACAACCGGCAAGCAGATCGGGTGTCATTCGACGCAGCTTTCCCTCCTTTTTCTACCAGCTGTTTTTTGTTTTTATTTCATCAAGTTTTCCGGGATATAATCACCATGACTCGGATTTTCCGGGCGCTTCTGCTGTACCCGAAATTTTCGAAAGTTGCTAATCTGAGGCGGTAAATGCTCATTTGGTTTGTAAATTAGTGTCAGACCATATTCCATCTTGGTAAGTTTCAAAATTTGAAGATTTTTGGTGTTTGCGGCATTTGTATCTGAGACGAGCCTGCTAAAATTCGGTGGTTCCATAAAAAAAATCTATACAAAAATTATGACGAAATCTGGAAAGTAGAAAAAAGTTGTGCTGTTTCCTGCAGGGTTTGCTCTATCAGTCCATCACTTGTATTCCTTGGTTGTTATAAAAATTTAGAAAAATTGTGAAACTTGGCTTTCTCAAAAAGTATGGGTCGCAGATTTTGATAATTTTTCGAGAGGTCATTAAATTTTGTGCAGTGGTTATATAACCATTAGAAAGAGGAAATGCTGCATCAATTGCTACTAGAATCTCTTACACATCTTTGTTCCACGAAATGTGGCGTTTTAAAGGGACATTATTTTCGGAACGACCTGTTAGTACAAACATACTTGCATAATTACGTGGATTTGCACGGAATCTGAGCCTAAACAACGAGAAAAACGAGGTAATTAAAAAGTGGCAAATTCCTCCTTCATTGGTCTTAGGCTTCTTCCACTTGCTTAGATATCAGCTACAGGGAGTATAGTTCCGAATTTCCGAGGATGTTCATGCTTTGATTTTCGTGAAATGACAAATTTTTTTTGAAAATGCCCGAGAACTCTCGAGCCAACCTAATACTATAAATCATCTGGACTTGCGCGACCAATACAATACAGCTCTCTTTATACTTCCAAATTTAGACTTTGCAAAATGTTGCTATCTACAAAAATCAGAAGTGATGGAAAACTACGCTTAAAAAGTATAGCTGATCAAAACGTGGCTACATACCACTGCTCGTCGAAAATGTAATTTTTTCATTACTCTTTCTTACGAAGCAAAACAAACAAATTGATCAACGCGTTTTCTCTCATCCGATACACATTAAAACGGCCAAGTAAAGCCAGCACTTTGAAAAGAGTTTCGCTTACCGATTTGAGTCGCAAATTGAGAAAAACTTGGCAGAACCGTAAAACCCTGAGTTATACCTCAAGCTTGCAGTGATATTTCTCCTGGAGAAATCACCAACACCGAAATGAACGAACCTGTGTTGTGATTGTATGTGCTTAGTATGTTCGAAGACTCTGGGAAGGTTACCTTTTGTGGCTAGTTATTCGCAATGAAAGTTGCCATCTTGGGGGCCAAACCGTACCTGTCGTGTATTCTTAATCTTATTGTTAGCTGCAAGATAGATTGGTTGATATTCGTAGCAAAGTGTCCAATAAACCGCGACATTCAATATGAAAGCACGGCATTTTCTTCAGTTTTTGCGAAAGGCACCAAAATACAATTTTTGGACATCCAAAACCAAAAATTTCTCGAAAGAGCTGCAGAACTGGAGGGCAATTTGACAGTGTTAGTATAGAATGTATGATATGATGTTTTTGGAAAAACACTTCTTATTTCCACGTGAAAGAAATTACAATTAAATGCAAAAGCTTCAGCAATTGTCTACTTCACCCGTAGGCTTCCATTCAAGTGAAGTCAGCATTGGTTTGACATGCACCATTCTTTCGCGATGCGTGCCGGTGCTGAAAACAAACAGCCTCAAATATCATAGAAGGATGTAGACATAGTTCGGACATTATTGAAATATAATATACATAGCATTACCCAGAAGCCATCAATCTGCCAACAATAAGATCTAAATTACATAGGTCAGAATCGCATACACAAGTGTATCCATCCTTATAATTTTCAGTACGTTGCTTCTGCAGAAAAAAAACATGACATTATTGAAAAGATGAGTAGCACAGATGTAAATTACACCGCATCCAAAGTCGCCGATGTAGACATGGTTATCACTGCATCCCAGAATATATGATGTTTCATTGTCGCTTTTGGTTCTGATCTGATAAGAAAAAACTAGTAGCCTTGTGTTTGTGCCTGTATATGCTCATAACGAATTCTTCTAATTTTTTGCGGTAAGTTGATCACGAATTATGCGTACTTCACACATTTCGTATTACGGAAACGACGATAAGAGTGAAGCTGAAGCAGAGTCTGGCAGTGGAACCAGTGAGATTTCGAAACGAAACCCCCTCTTTCGAAAATTTTTGTGAACTCTTTTGAGCTTCTTCAACTTACTACTTCTCACTTGTCTTTCTTGTCTGTACTGTCGCTGACTCCCAATGAAGATAAAATAGGGTTGACAATTCCATCTTCAACCATATGTTTCCAAAAAAATCAGAGCCTTAGTAGCTCTCTGCATCACGTGCCGAACGCGAACTTCATGGTCAAAACTTTGAACCTACCGATCCAGCACTTGCCCTTCCCCTCCACATCTCCCTTCCTCACTTTCCACTTCTTTTCCGTCCTCTCTCTAACCCATCCCTTCTACCCTCCCCTCCTCTGAGAATAATGGCACAACTGTATAGAATGAACATGAAATTATCGAAAGAAATAGGCAAGCGTAATCAATACCGAACGTGCCTGTTTGGCGCAGTTTGCAATCGGAGCGATTACGCTGCCAAAGAATTTTTGGGGGGCTATAAAAAGTCCTGGAGGAAAAATCATGAAATTTTTTTTTCTTGTGGGGTACTTTTGCTTCCATTCGCATGTTTTCCTTTGGGGTTAGTTCGAGCGCTCAATAGAGACACCAATTATGAAGTCATATCGTTGCTTTTTGGATGTGATACCAGTATTTCAGTAATATACTGAAATGCCGGTAAATATCTCTGCAATCTTCTGCAGACCTCAGCAATGGAACACTCAAACTATATATCTTTTGCTTTCCTTCCCTGGTTTGATATCCAGCTTGACCCGTTCTTAGATGCGCCGAGTCCTGAGGCTCCCGCCAGAGTGCCGAAGTTATGCCAGCGCTACGCCAGCATTTCGATCGATACACGTGTATTTCGTTGGGGGCATCTACCTGCTGAGCTAGCCCCGCCCCAACGAAATACACGTGTATCGATCGAAATGCTGGCGTAGCGCTGGCATAACTTCGGCACTCTGGCGGGAGCCTGAGCTGAAGCCTTTGAGTCATACAACCGGGCATGAAGCCTACCAAGCTGTTTCGAAAGTTCTGTCCGATTATCAGTTGCCTTGATTTAACGCAGCTATTTCTAAAGTCTCGCACTTACTGCAGTATTATGGTAACATTTAAAGGCACTTTTCTTGCTCTTTTCAATACTTCTAACCCTACAAGATATCTTGAATTCAATCCCCGAACTTAAGATACCAATACGCAGTCATGCACAAAAAATTTGTTGAGAAAACTCTCGCAGTGTTCATAAAATACCTATGTATAAATTTTATAATGAGTAAGAATTCAGTGGGCTATCCTACGCGCACTTTTTCCCACATAGAGATTGTCTTATTTCCGAGATTTTCATAGATTGAAGACAAACACAGTTGTTCAACAAGCGACAACAATCTGCATAGATCGACCAGTGATGTATTCGATTTTGCATATGTCAGAGTAAAGGGAAAGCGAACAGCTGTCTTCGTTCGACAGCAAGAAAAATCAAATTCGAGAAGTCAGCATATTTGCGTGCGCAAAGTAGGGCTCAAACAATCGCTTTTTACGATTTGCTCATAAATTCTTTAGCCATATAAAGATTCCTGAAATCTAAGATACTCAATGACGGCGGCAAAATATGTCTGCTAACCCTTATATGGGAGCATTACTAAGCAGGGTCAAGCGTGGGATGTGGCACGCCACACCTGTGGGGGGGGGGGTAGAGGGTCAGAAAGAAAGGGGGTCGTTATCGAGGTGATAGTGATGTTAGCGATAAGATGTCAGTCAACAATATCTGATAGGCCCATTGTGCAAGATGCCAGCACTGAATGCTTTTTTAAAGAGTCCCAAAAGCATAAGTGCATCTCTCCATAATCAGCATGTCAAATGACCCAAATAACCCCTTTAGGCCAATCAGCGAATTTTGAGGTTTCCAAATATTGGGACACTCAGGTGAGGTGGTCATTTTCGAACATGCTAAGGTGAAGGTGAGTAAACTACTTTTTTTGCACTCCTTACAGCACTACTACTTTTTTTGCACACACTAGAAATCTTACTATGAATAACCTCCAAACTCTATAATCAAGAGCAAACCAAAATGTCTGTCCCATTTTTCGCTTTCAATTTCTCAGACAAGAGAAGACCAATCAGACTCAAATCACTTTTGTGAAAGTTACGAGGATCAGGCTGTGGAATATATTTGTTCTTGCTTCCCCGCGATTCATGCAGTAGCTCAAACTTAGCATGTTACCGTAACCCAATATTTTCGCGGTATTTTTCATTTGAATAGGTAAGGAAAAACGAGACTGCATTTTTCCCTATGAAAAACGAATTCGAATGAAAATCTTGCTATGTGGAGAAGAAGATCTAAACAGTAGCAACCATATGAAAAAGGCAGAGATTGGGATGCTTTGAAGGTAAGTTATTGGGGTATGGCTCAACCCCTAAAAAGCTGTGGCCGCCACAGCTTTTTAAGGGTTGTGCAACATTATTAGCCTGCCTCCGAAAAGAGTTTTAGCGAATAAAATACATATGATCTGATTGCATGAGTGTTGTGGTTCTCATAGGAGTAATTTGAGCCTGATTCATCTTCTTCGCTCTGGGTAAAACTGGTAAAAGCCGACCATTGGAAGAGAAAAATGAGACAAGCGAAATTTGGTCTGCTTCTAATTCCACAGTTTACTGGTTGTTTGAAGCATGGTTCACGACATGGGCAAATATGGAGTAGCGCTTTGTACTGAGTGCAAAAGCGGTAGCTAATTCACTTTGAAATGTAGTCAATCATTCCACAGATATGGAAGGAAGCATTGGTGACTGCAATTCCTAAGGTTCCTAGTGCTTCCAGTCTCACGGATTTCCGCCCCATCAGTTTGGCTCCTACAGCTGTGAAAGTTATGGAGAAAGGACTGCGGGATAAACTACTAGCGTGGCTTGAAAAATGCAAAATTGTACCCCCTAATCAGCATGGGTTCATGCCAGGATCTTCCATTGCTACGAACCTTGCCGACTCAGTTTTTGACTGGACTCTGGCTCTGAATAGAGGGGAATCAGTAGATGTTGTTTACGTGGACCTTTCGAAAGCATTCGATCGTGTTGATCATGAAAAGCTTTTGTCCAAGCTCGAACGAATTGGGATCAATGGAAATTTATTAAATTGGTTTAAGTCATATCTGAGTAGCAGAGGGATGACTGTGAAGGTAGAGCATCAATTTTCGGATAGACAGGCCTGTGTTAGTGGGGTTCCGCAAGGCGCGGTCCTTTCTCCGTTACTTTTTATAATTTATACCGCCGATCTCCCGTTAATCTTGGAAACATCAGAGCATATAACAATCCAGATGTATGCGGATGTTATCAAGATATAAGGGAAATATAGCGCGGTAAATCATGGTGAAGTTCAGTCTGCAATAAAGGAATCTTTGAAAAGATTGGTAGACTGGGCATCATGCTTTGGCATTCCCAGTCAACTTGAATAAATGTTTTGTGATGCATTTAGGTGACGATCAAAATTCTGCATATGAGATAAATGGGATTGTCTTGAGAAATTGCTCCACTGCTAAGGACTTGGGGGTCTTGATAGATGGTGATTTGAAATTTTCGCATCACATTGATAATGTGGTAAACAGTGCGTACTGTTTTATTTAAAATTCTCCGATCTGTTCATACTGAAAATCCCGTACTACTGAAACGTCTCTATAAAGCGTACCACCTCGAATACTGTTCAGTTATATGGAATCCTTTTGCAAAGAAAGACATCCTAAAACTGGAAAAAGTCCAAAAACATTCACTCGCATTTTATTCCTAAGGTGTCGCAGAGCATTAGCTTTTGATGAAATGCCCAGTTATCAAGACCTCCTCAAGTCCTTGGCAATGAAAAGCTTGGAATTTAGAAGGACATACCTAGACCTCATTTTCGCTTTTCGTCTTTTTCGTAAAGAAATCAGACTTACCGCAAGTAAGTACTAGATTTTCAGGCCTAGTAATAGGATGGGTGGGTTTAATATACACTATCCACGTATTTACAGGAAACATTTTTTACGAACTTTTGATACTCTATTTTACAGAACACCTAGGTGGCTCGGTAGATTGCCAAATACTGCACTGTTATCTGAACATTCAGCTACCTTCAAACGTAGAATAGCGCAAGTCGATCTGTTGCAAGTTAAGAATTCTCGTAACTACTGAAACTGTTTTTGCTTTTTTCGTTTCTTTTTTCAGGAATCACTGCGTTTTGCTCGTCTGTCGCCTTCAAACACGACACTTATGACTGAGTGTTATTTTTTTTGATGATGGCAGTACTAACATTGGATTAGTCTATGAGTTTTTTTTCTTTTGGTTTTTTTGTTACTAACCAGACCACTGGCCGACCACACACCATCTATTTCTGCTTATCCGCGAAATCATCTGGAAAGTTGAGGAGTACTGAATCGATGCATGTGAGGTGAAATTACTTCATGCACACACACACATACATACATACATACATCTAGGCCTTCTGCTATTTTTATCTACCTTGTGTGTGGCCGGTTGAGCATCTCTTTTTGCATTTCCTGTTATTTTTATGGCGCACCTTTAAGTGCATTGAAATAAATAAATAAATAAATAAATAAATTTACTCAAAAACTGGGGCATTTTTGAGGTGCAAACATGGCCGATTTTTTGGTTTTTTTGCAAAAAAATATTTCGTAGGCTGTGCTCCAAGATTCTGACACAGTATATTGATAGCCTCAGCATAGTTCTACATTTACAGGATATGAGCTCTTCAGCTCTTTTCATGCCTGAGAAATTCCTGTACTAACAGGCCGAATTCTAAGTCGACTTTTTCCTTACTGCGCGCATGCTGGTGATCCGAATTAAAGCGCTGAGGATCCAATAAATTGAGCGTAACCTATAAACCAACATTGTCTTTGCAGCGAAGTTTGCAGCTTTCAGAAAGGATCAATCTGCTTGAAGTTACAGCAGTTTGAAAAAAAATTTTGCAAGTGCTCGGGAACTTTCTTTACAACCTAATAGTACCCAAATATTGCCTAATTTGACCTTATTTCATCTGTTCAAAAATGATGATTTTGAAAAGATCATAACCTTTTCAAATGAGAAATTCTGAAGGTCAGACAGAACTTTCTGAACAATCTACTATTCTCATATGTCTTGGTAAAACTACTTTTTCTTGGAGAAAACTCGAGTTTTCGCCTACAATGGAAATTCAGCCTAGGAAATTCGACAAAACCGCAGGAAACTGATTTGAATGAAGCCCAGCCGCATTTTCAAGATGCCGGACTGGTTTATTTTCAGTTTGTTACGTAGATAACCTTTAGCTTATCACAGAGATATCCAGAGACTGCTGATTTATTGTAGCAATAGGTGAATTGATAAGTGGAGCTGCGTGTTATAGAATTTTCCGCCGCCTTTTTCAATAAGTCCATCAACTTTTTTCACAACGAAAGATCTGATGTTTTATCAAAGGTGATTCCAAATTTGAATGGAAATCACATTTCAGCGGCGAATAGTCGCAAGAAACACATCCTTTTCCCACTTTTGCTGCCTTACTTTACCCGTCACTGCTTGAAATTTTGTAACGCTTCAGGTCTGATGTCTCGGAACGAAACGATCTCAGTCTTGTTTTACCAAAATTGTTTGACATCCGCTTACTTTATTTTTCTTCTTGAAAATAATTGCTTTTTGTTAGAACTCAGAAAAAAAGAAGAATTTACCTGTATTGAACAAATTGATCCTTTGGGACAAGATTCTATCAATAGAGACGCAGATAACCATTTGCCGTCCTCATTTTTGATGCCTCTGCAAATTACTCAAAGTCCGCACGAAATGAGAGGTAAAGACTTGGTACCAATCTAATAACATGCCTAAGGGCGATAGATAGTGATCTAAAGCTTCTTTTGTTATCGACTTAAATCATTCAGTGGATCTGGTAAATTGTGACTTTCGAAGCTGAAAATCTGTGTAGGCGAGTAGTGGCGTGGTATTAGATTGGTAGTGAGTTATGTCACTCTGTCCATGACTTTTACTTTGATCTCCTTTTGGATGAGAGCTCAAGTTGTGGCATTATGTAGATTAAGAAGAAGATTACAAAAGCTTATAAAAGCTTTTAAAAGCAAGAAATGCAGCGATTGCTTCTATTTGAGTAGGAAGACAGGCCGTAAGTGTCGCAAATGTTTCACATTTTGGGATGTAATTGTACAAAAAAATTTGAGAGTCAACGAATGCGATAGTGATTAGAAAAACCAGATGGCTGTATAATTTTGTTCAGCTTTCAAAGAGGGCTTTTTCGATTTTTTTCGTTTTTCTCCGTTCAAACTCAACAAGACTAAGCCGTTTTGAGGGGTTATGGTAGGTTGACATGCGCACAATACAGCAAAGTTTCAGACAGATTCATTGACAAGAACAAAAATTACGACGATTTCTAGAGTGGCTGTATAATTATGTCCAGCACTGTAGTTATGGACATTTGTTTGAGAACAATTTGATTATTTTTCTTGGACGTAGGACAGAGAACGAAAAGAAGGAATTCTGAGATTTAGTCTTTCATTTCTAAGGACTCTAAATTTCAGAGTGAATTGAAATATACGAAAGCTACAGCATACGTAAGAAATTAGAAAAAATGCTCTGCAAGATCCTTTTCTTGAAAAGGTTGGTTCTGTTTTCGAGAACCAGCGCTTCAAGGAAGGCATTAATCATGAATCAGCCCTTATATAAAATTTGATTGTTGTCAGGTCGAAGCCCACTGATTCTTCGCAACTCACAACTCAAGCCTCCTTAGTCAGGCGGCCTTGTCGCATAACACCCATATCACTTTGTAAAGTACTGAATGATTCCAAACTGTTTTTTTTTTCATCTGCCAGCCTGAGGCCAAAAATGGAGCGTTTTAAGATCGAGAAATCAATTGCGCAACTGAAACAAAATCCAGGATCGCTCAAATGTTCAGGATATATTAGATCATTCATTCAATGAATGCCTTCCGCCTAATACCTTCATAGTCAACACTTCTCTATTTGAAAAGATCGTAACCATTGTCTAGATAAATTCTGCGCATTTTCGCTTCATAAAAACACTCATAACTCGTCCAGAGGCGTTTGACAGATAATAAAAAGATGGTAAAGAACTCATTTGAAAAGGCCACTTCGACTAATAAGCTTTCCTTATTAGCTTTTTTCGTAACAAAATAGGCCTACCAAGCGAACTGAATATCATTTCTCGTTATCAGCATGTCGTATAATCTCCTCGAAACAAGTTTCATTAGAATCTGTACCAATTCGTTTTTCTACTTTGAAAATTACCTTAGCCACTACAGAATACAATGATATAATTCTACAAATGGCTGCATTCATAGCTCACATGGTCAACTATGAAACCAAAAACTGGATGCGCCGCATTTGAAAAGACAAGGATTCGGATTTATCCATTCACGCTTAAACAAAACAGCAAAAAAAGTCATGTATATTCTATCATAACTTATAATAACGGGCTAAGGATGTTTACGTGACTTTGTGTGTCTGTGTGTGTGTGAGTGTGTCTGTTACGAAATTCGTGGAGCGTGTCCCAGCCAGCGTTCTAAGCCCGAATTTTGTATAGCGCATGCTACCTTTATGAAAGTCCAACATGCAAAAACACGAGTAAATTCGTTGAGTGGATCCTTCAGAAATTGCGCGCCAAACGGGTCCACGTGGCTTCTATACCGCAAAATTCGGTCCATATCACCACTTTTTGCAGAGTCGTGGATGAGTTTGGTAGGCAACTGTGCAAGCGATGGAGTTTAGCCCGAAAAGTGGTCGAAAGTTTACTGCATAACGAAAACGGCGCCAAAAAGATTTGATTGTGTAAATGGTCAATTTGCCTAGGTTCTAGCTAAGCGCTTGAAAAGATTTTCGCACAGAGATGTAGCTCACGGCTACTATTACCTCTATGGCGACTACCAAGCCATGACAAATCCAAAAACCTATTCAAACTTGCGTTTGTCTTCCTGCGAAAAGTTTCATCCACGCGAAATCACCGATCTCACGTGAAAAAACTTTCTAAATGAGTGGTTGTTTACATTTTATTCGTGGTAGTCGGCATAGCGCGGTGAGTTCCAGTGCCACGATTTTACGAGAATGAGTAAGGCACATAGATAGTAGAGCCAGTGCGAGCCTCTGCGAAGCAGAGGTGACGCACTGGTACTATAATAAGTAGTCACTACTTCTACAGGTTTGCTGGACACTGTCTAAATACCAGATGTGTAAAAGTAATTGTTGATGCATGCAGTGTTTATGTGTCGCAAGGAATCCATAAAAGAGCAATAGATGTTGGAAATGTCTCATAGCAGAACATTTATTTTATTTTACAACATAGCAAAAAAATTTGGTCCGTTCGATCGGGTTAACCTTGAAGAGTTAAGCTCAAACTAGAAGGTGTATTTTTTCATATGTAGCCATTGCAAGTTACGCCACCTTACCATCTACCTTATCCGAACCGACCAGTTAAAAAAGATGATGCTTTGTTCTAGGTGCGCTATTTAGTCCCAATTTTACAGGATAAAATGTTAACCTTCTGCCGCTTGTCAAAAGAATCCATCGTTATTAACATAAGTAACAGGTATCACGGAAACTACCCTCCAACGTGAGCCCATCGTGTTTTTCAATCAACATCCACCCCATATTTAATTCAACAATATTGAAAACGATAAACATCATAACGATGATTTCAGATGTTTTCATGAACATTATGAAATGTTCAGCCTTCAGAAGGTTTGAACAGTTTTAAATAGTCTCAACTGCCCTTGTATCTCACCGGAATCAATTCAAAGAATCATGTAAAAGTATATTAAAACATGTTGATTTTTTTCCACTGGTGGTAGGTGAACATTACTCATGTTGATTGCGACAATGCTACGAGTGTAAGGCTGCGTTCATACTGATCCGGAAGTTCGGGAACAGTTCCAGCATAGCGCTCGAGCTGAGCAAGCTGAAACTGTTTCCGGACTTCGGGATCAGTATGAACGCAGCCTAACGCACAATTTGACGACGCTTTGATTGAAGGTCCGGAACAGATAAATACCGATAGTTGAACTTTATTATTGGGTAGGCCGTCGCCGATAGGCTCCACCCCAAGGACGGCCTTTATAAGTCTTAATGTCTGTAACGTGGAGGGTGCGTGAGACGCGTGGTCTGCTACAGATGTCCTCGTCGTCAGTTATACCTTTTCCGCGTTTTATCAAGATAGAGCGCCTCTGGATGGTTTAACGTCCAACCCTTATAATTCCAATTTAAAAATTACTTTTAGCAGCGTTAAAGGTCCTACGGACAAATATTCGTGGTTTTTCAACAATTTTCCTTCTTGATTGAGTTTTGTCCGCGCACACCTCTCCAACACCAAATGTTTCCTAATTTCCTGCGCAGCACTAAGGTAAGCCAAGGGTGCGTTGTGGAATCTTCTGATGTGAATTCGCTCTATACCTACGCTCTCAACGAGCCCGCAAAACAAGCGACCTTTGAACCTCCCTTAGCACCAGCCGTCACTTAATCTCTGTGGTTTTGGCTTCAAAAACATCTTGTTGATTAAGGGATGTAACTGATAGACCGCAAAAGTCTCTGCACTTTCATAGTATCAGGTTGCATGGGTAAGTGAAGCAAGCTACAACGCGATAAACTAATTTTCACTTGCACTTGTTCACACTTAATACCATTCAATGATGTGAAACTCGTTTACGAAACTGTTTAAGATTCAGCTACTGCCGAACTAGAATAGACTGACTTACTTGAAGCATTCCAATGTTGACTCGAAACCCAAGGCTATCGTAGAGATGTAAAGGACACAACGCATAAAAGCGTTAAGAACTAAGGAGCACATAGGATACACCAGTAGACGAAGTCAGCACAAAGCCATCTGTCTGATATGAAATGAAGATAACGTTCACCATTTGCATCGTTGTAGTTGCGAAGACTGGTCAGCAAATGGTCGCGAAAATGACAGCGCCAAAATTCCGATGCATGCAACTTATCTTGGTGTCAAGGTAATAATATTTCAAAAAAGTGTCGAGGGTGCTCAATAGCGATCTAACACTTGCGAACACATTATCGCAAGGAAGGTTATTGAGCCCATGTGCGACTGGGGAGACAATATTTAATATACTTGGCGCTAAGACATGACATAGCTTGAAGCAGTGTTCGCAAAAAATCGCTTTCCAGTTTTTCACCTCCTTAGATCCTTTTCGTCATGCTGAGTCCATATCTGGGTCTTTAGCGCATAAAAATGGCTAAATTGATACTTTGTTAAAGCTCTTCATGTCCGCGTTTGCTCAAGTTTGCCTACAGGTGGGCAGGGCCCGAAAGACTTCTAAGTGGATTTTAGGCCTTCTAAATGCGTATTTTTGCTCCAAACTTTATTGAAAGCTATTCAGTAGGTCTACTATTGCAATGTGTGTCAAGACCCATCAGGCGCTGCCGGGGCGCTGCCTTCAAAGGCAGTGTTCGTATAAGGTGTGGGCTTTGAGTTAATGCCATCGAAAGTGGAGCCCCTCGGACTCGTCAGAGTGAAATGCAAGGTCACAAGGTTTGACCAAAAGCATGAAATACGGTTAGAATACTGGGGTTACGCCCTTGAAGGCAGCGTCTACCCAGAATTTGGCTCCCCATGTTTTCGTCATTCTGGGGCCTTTCCGTGGTCCTGATTACAATTCCGAATTGCAAACTCTCCAAAATTCACAAAAAAAACCGATGCCTATAAGGGGCTTTTCTGCCTGCTCAAAATGCTGCTCTGCGGCAGAGTGCGCATGCTGCCGCAAAGTCGTAGGGTCCCGCGCCACTCTTCGTCTCAGCCCTAGCGCTAACCGTCCAATTTCAAGTTGTACGTCTTTGGAAAAAGTATGTGAACGCGATTGTGCTTGAAAGTTGCTGTCTTGATGTCTGCAACACACTTTTTGAATATTAGGAAGAGTGGGAAGGATTTTGATGCTATTCTGCTGTGTTTTACACAAAAATCAAACAAATTCTGTGTGCCAACCGAGCCCAATAAATCGTTCATCAGTTGTAAAAGCAGGAATGATACCAACAGTACAATACCACTCTCAGAGTGTGCGAAATTTCCGTGAATGTCGCGGAATTCCGGGAATTTCGCGAAATTTCAGGAATTTCGCGAAATTAACGAGAATCACGCAAACTACGCAGCGCCATAACTTCCTTCGGAATGAATAAATTCTGAATCCGGAAGCAGCATTGTGTTCAGCTCGTCAAGACGATTCTTTCCATACACAGAATGTCTTCGATATTCCGTTTCCAGTTTTCTCAAGTTCTTCTGAGGAGGCCGTTTCGCAAGGATGTAACGCAGCGCGTATCCAACATAAAAGATAACCGCAAGTACTACTCGATAGTACTCTTTCTTTAGATCATAGTGCGCTAAAAAGTGGCCGCAATTTTCTTTTTAAAGGAAATAGAAGGGCTGATGAATTCTAGAAAATCACGCGTTTCCAAATTCTACTCGCCATAACTTCCTTTGGAATAAACATATTCTGAATCGAAAAGAAACATTGTGCTCAGCTTTCTAAGAGGAATCTTTTTGTTTACAACATGTCCTTGATATTTCGATCTCAGTATTGTTGAAACTTTCTCCACACGTCTCTTCGCCAACGTGTAAAGCAGCGCGTATTGCCCCCAGTAGATTCCAGAAAAAACCTTGGATAGTACTTCTTTTGTAGATTATGGCGAAACAAGAATTAGCCGCACACTTCTTCCTAAAGGGAATAGAAAAGTTGGTGAATGCTGGAAAAATCATGTCGTTTTAAATTTTTCTCACCATAACCCTGAAATATGAAGCTCTCTTGTTAAGCAGTTGTGATTTTCGTAATCAGCTGGTCGGATAACCTTTATGAGCAAGCTTTTCAAGATGTTTCGGGTTATTTCATTTCTTGTCATTTTATTTGTCATTTTTGTCATTGCCCTGAAGTTCGCCGATGGATTTTGGTCAAAATGTCGATGATCTCGAATTGCAAGGAAAACTTCGCTTACAGAGATTTTCGGAGAGCTTTTTACGAAAATCGTGGTCTTCGAGGAATATAGGGTCTTTTTGCAGAAATATGGTGAGGTACCCGTAACTGAGTCACGAAAGTGTGTAAAACTGTCTGCGCTTCTCGCGTATCTGTCAGAAAACTTGTCCGCTTGCTTTTATAGGTTAAAGTCACTAGGAACCGCGCTATTGAATGATGCATGTCTCAGACTCCACTCTACAAAAATCGCCCAGTTACGAGCCTACGAAAACCCTCATGAATTTTGCACAAAATGTAAGATCGCGTACTTCGTTGAAATTCCACGATGTTGTACGATTCAATTCTACGATGTCAGTATTAAAGATTCTAATTTTTCCACTTCTTTACATCTCACATGCTATTTGTTATCCATGATTACATTACACTTAACAAGTACCAATATATTTGAAAAGCTTTTCTACAGAAAGCAAATCGTGCTAGCTTTGGACTGCAGTTTGTGAATCAAAATGCTGTGGACTTCATATTGCGAAGCCAATCTTGTATTACACAACAGCTCAAAGGATTTTGTTTACAAGCTTAAGAAATTATGAATCTATTGAAGACATGACATGCTATGACATGCTATATTATGACATGCTCTACTTTAGCTCTTGTTTCCCTTTTAGCAACGTTGTTTACGTGTAACTCTATTCAATCATCAACCCTGAGTAATTGAACAGCTTCTTACCAAGAGGATGTTCCAGCTTCTGATGAACGGTGGAATGACGGCCTTGAAAACGCATACAGAAGAATACTGAAAAAATTCCGGAAAGAGATCGATCTGAGAGCCAGCAATTTCTGGATTTTTAGGCCAGTTAATTGTAGGATAGAAATATAATCTCCTAACTCATTATTTTACGTGCGTTCAACGCTTGTTTGCCAAAATATTTTACATCAGTAGATTGTTAGGCTGGTGGATACTTAAATTTTGAAAATCTACTGCTGTGGCCGTATTCATCGAGGAACCCTGAAGGTTAAACTAACCATGGAGAATAAGTTTAACCCTCAGGGTTCATTGGCCATATTCATCACATAGTGTAGGGTTTACCACGGAACGCGATCCACCCGTATCGATCAAGTGGTCGTGTTCGTCAACGAACCCTGAGGGTTAAACTAACCCTGAGGGGAAGGGTCGGTCAGTTACGCGTGCGCTGTGCAAACTCACATCACAGAATGCCTAAGTCTAAATACTACAACACTCGTTGATCGTTTTCCATAAAACCATTAGATGCGAGTAAATGTTTGTATGAAGTGTTAGGGTAGAGTTAACCTTGCTCTAAGCTAGGGTTAAATTAACCCTGATGAATCACGTAAGTTTTACCCTCCAGGGTTAGTTTAACCTCAGCGTTCGTTCATGAATACGGGTTAATTGCTTTCGGGGTAAGGTTTACCCACAAGTGTAGATTTAACCCTCAGGGTTAAGCTTACCCTGTGTTTCATGAATACAGGTTAATCGCTTTCCAGGTTTAAACTAACCCTCCAGGGTTAGTTCAACCCTCAGGGTCGTTGATGAATAGGGCCACTGGTCTGTTCATTTACTAGACGAACAGTGCCCCCCCCCCGTGCCATTCACTCAGCGGGTCTACAGAGACTGAGTCAACTCGCAAGCTTACCTGATTTCGCTATATTTTATTTCTTCGCTATTTGCTAGTAGGCAATCCTAACACTACAGATTTTATATGATTACTTTGTTTCAATTATTTTGACGCACTGTAGAGTGTAAGGACAAATGAACAGATAAAAAAATAAGCTTCTTTCCATAAGCCTACAACCACCGAGTAAAGATATGCTTTCAGGAAATTTTTTCCAGTGCAAAGGGACCATATAGCAAAAAACTTAGCACGTTCATGGACATGGTCTATAGAATTTGATTAATAGGCTTCATGGAAAAATTATAGGTCTTAAAGTTGTGGCATGCTTTTTCTGAAAATCCCCCACTACCAGCAAACGGAAAAATGACGCGTTTGCAACGCACAAATGACGATATGGCACGAAAGTTGGTGTGTATTGCATAACATCACTCTTCCGTAGATAAACCTTTCACAGATTAGCGTTTGAGTTTTGCGTGCCTTTCGTCTCAGTCCCGAGACTGGCGAAATACCTAACAATATAAAGTGCGGTTCATAATTATACGAACACCCAAAATTTTGTAAGCTTTCGGACTTTTTGGGAGAAACTCAAAAAGCCGTTGATACCACGCGATAGAACACATCCGAAAACGGTATATGATTCACAAGAATGGAAATCGATATCAATATTAGGAGTGTTTTTGCGCCTAATGCAAATTTTTAGCGGTTCATAATTATACGAACACCTCAAACAAAGGTCCATTTTTCGTTCAAGATTGCAATCGTTTGAGTCCAAATTTTTTGAAGAGTTACAGTAACAAAGTCTGACATATCTGCTACACACTGAACCCAGTGCAGTTCAAAACGAGGACCGTTCCTTTTTCAGAAGGCTCTAAATGCTTTTGGAGTGATTGGGCTCCAGAACCATCCGTTCATCTGTGGTTTACGCGCTCTAATTAGCTTCTACCAAAGCTATGAGATAAAGTTAGCTCTTTCGATAGGTGTTTCGTTTGACGCTTGGAAAATCTTTGCGTTTTCGTGCCGTTTTTCAACCAAGTTCCATCCTTAGCACAGAGTTAGCACGATTTCGAGCCTCAAAACTCAGCTTCTCTCTTGCGCAAACATTTGATATGAAGCACCTGCATTGCTTGCATGATGATATTTCTGTACCAAAGTTTTTGGGTTTTTCCAGAACTGATTTTGCGGCTGTGGAGCTACAAACCAAATAAAGGTGAGATTGCAATAGTAAAAATAGTATTTCT